AAAAAAAAAAAAATATTACAAACAAAAAAAAACAAAAATTTGAAAAAATTCTATGAGCCAATGAATGAATAGAAAAATGTTACATGAAAGTGAGGGAAGTCTTTATAAATGAAATTCAGCTGAAGTTATTTGCCATAGCAAGAGTCTGTTGCAGTTGAAATAATTTTGTGTGAAAGGACTTGGGGGAAGGTCAAAATGCGTCAAAAATGTTACATATTAAAAATAACTGTATTCAGCGCTGGAATCTTTTGATATTTGTTGTAAGAGAAAAAACCATTTTTAGCTTGCGTTTCATTCCAAAAAGAACTTTAATTAGTTAAATAGTAAAATTTCTATTTAACACTATATTCAAGCTAAGTTTCACTGAGCAAATTAAATGAATAATTTGATGCGCGTATGAGTATATAATATATATAATAATTATATAATATGATTGTATGAGTATGCATTTAATATATCAAGTCGAACAGAGGATAGAAGGAAGGATAATTGCTGCAACAGTTCGTTTTCATGGTGTTTGCCACGCCTCCTTCTGCCTGTCACATATCTTTTTGCATAGCCAGTATACCCTATTGACCCACACTCTATGCCTGCAGGGTATTCAAACTGCATATGCATCATCCACGTCTCACCTCGAATTTTAGTTCAGAGGGAACTTTCGAGCTGAAGTCTTGACATTTTCTGGCCCACTTAACTCGAGTGTTAACAAAAGTCTTCTACACACTTACCTGAGATGTTCTGCCTGAGGCCACCTGAGCATTAGCCTGTGTGCTCGCACATGGCTTAGGCCTATTAGCTGCATGCATTTTGCAAGCCTTTTGCATTCGCTTTAAATTTTGCCTTTTGTTCGTTTTTTGCATTCGCTTTTAGTTTTTATGCATTTATGTTTCCATTTTGACTTACTTTGAGCAGAATAATTGAAATTGCCTTAGCCTGCCCGCCTCCTCCTCCTCCTCCTCCGCCCACTTCTGCTCGAATTGGCAAACGCCACAAGTTGCTCGAAATGTCAATGGCTTTGACATTTGGCATACGCAATTCATTTGCAATTTAATCGAAGCACCTGCTCAAACGTATTCGACTTTCCAAATGCGTGAGTTGCCTTTTTCGCATTTTCCCATTTTCCCATTTCCGTTTCCGGTTAGCATTTCAGCGTCGCTTTTGTTTCGGGACGCAGGCCCAGCTTATCTTTCATTATACTTTGTTGCCAGCTCCAAACTTTGGAAACGTGCAAATTAGTTGTGGGATCAACAATGCACTCAACACTCGACACACACACACACACACACATACACACACTCATATAGAGTCGGCGGCAAACTTTGTTGCAAATGCATCTTGCTGCACTTTACGGTTATGCGACGCCCCTCGTGCAAGCTGCATGCCAAATGCCAAGTGCCAAGCGCCAAGCGCCAAAAGGCAGCCAAGCGCCTGCCTCGTTGTGATTTTGCACAAGGAATGGCTGCTCCACTAGATACGAGCCATATTTGGCATCATTTGACTTTTCATGTGCGAATAATTGAGTTGAGACAAGTTGAATTGGAGAATTAAAAAGTCAATCAATTCAATAAACATTTTTAATAGAACGTAAAGTAAGTGAAAAAATATAGAAAAATTATACGCTTTAAGTCTTTAAGTTTCATAAATGATTTGGTATTCATATGAAGCAAATACTTTTTATAAAAATATATGTATATGTATATAAGTTATCAAGCTGAAGGCTTTAAGTTAGTTTTAAATTTACATAAATTTTTTAAATTTATATACATCTTAGATTTCCTGATACTTTCTCATTCATGATTCAATTTGGAATTTAATGAATAGAAAGTTTTCTGTATTCTTTACGTTATGAAAGATATTAAAAATATATAAAAAATAAAAAATCAACAAATGTGCGCTTAATAAGGATTTTTAATATACATGTTTTTTTTTTTTATTTATTTATTTTATTTTTATTTGTAGAGCCTATCTTACTGCCTATAAAATTTAAACAACAAAGACAAAAATATTTATAAAAATCAGCACATCCATCATTTATAATATAAAATAAGAATTTCTTTTAATAAACATTTATGTCCTGTGGCTTATTATTTCACTGGATAAATCTCATAGTAAATATAAAAAAATATATATGTATATAAAATAGATATATGAAATATATGAAAAATCACAATCGTCTTACTTCTATCTTCCATCCTGCTCTTGCAACAACTCACTGCATTCACTGGCTTCACTAAAGCCGACTTTAAATCTCATTAACAAGCAAAACTCCAGCAGGCAACTTTTTCTCTGTTAAACGGCTTATCAGTTTGATAAAGGAAATTGACAGAGCGAGTCATGCAGCATTTTAGCTCTGTACGTGCGCCCACAACAGAGCCATGTTAAACTCTCTTAGGCTGTTAGTGCATTTAACAGAGTCAGAGAGCAGGGAAATTTTAACAGCGCGCTGTTATGTTGGGCTGTTACAGCTGTTAGCATACCAGCACGTGTGTGTGTGTTTGTGTGTGCGCGCTGCAAAACTAGGCAACATTATTGAAATTTAAGCGAAAGCCCGCAAAAGGCACATTAAATCACGAGTTGAATTCATTTGATTGAAATACATAATAAACGAGTCTGCCTGACTTGCCTGTGGGTCGCATCACTGTTATTATTGTCATTTTTATTGGCCTTCAAATTCCGCTGAAGCAATGAAAAACGTTTACGTTTGCGTTTGTGTTACCATTTTGTGTGTTTATATTCCGTTATGCCCAAGTTCCGACAAAAAAAAAAAAAAAAAAAAAGCGAAGTTAAACGCACACGGCCTATAAAACCCAGCGCGCAGTCTCCCAAGTTGTTCTTGCTTCGGGCTCGGCTCGGTGATAAGCATAAAATGCTTATAGGTTTTGTAGACATTATAAATTTATGATTGAGTCGACTTGACTGGCGACAGTGTGCGTGCGTGTGAGTGCGCATTGATTTCTTGGCGGCTGCTGGAAGAGTCTTCCATAAAATGCTCGCCCACTAAGTGGGGCATGGCTCATTAGGAAATGGCAAAACATAAGCTAAATTATCGCATACTCAAAGCAACAATAAAAGTTTTGACAGCGCCGAGTCACAGAGTCATATGTTGAGGCACAGTGGGGCAAGGAATAGATAAAGTCAAGTCAGTTTGACTAAACTAACAGCACTTGATTTCCTCTCTATTTTCAGCACTTTGCAACATAATGAGAGAAAAACTAAAAGAGAAAAATATTTAATAAATCTTGCTTAAACGTTTTCTTACACAGCAACATGATTCATGTAGTCCGTACGTACTCTTGGGCTCATAACAAGTTAGCCCGAGTTACTCAGTGGCCAATAAAACAAAATTCGCCCAGGAGTTCGCTGTGAGGAATCAC